AAATCATCTTTCATTTCTTTTTCTTTCATCATAGAATTTTGACAAGGCACAAGTACAGTTTTGTGATAATTGCATTTTTGAGCTCCTTGGCTTTTTACTGCCCCCCGCCAGTCAACTCCTAAGAATAGTACTTTATGAATTTTGGCGTCTAACAGATACACAAATGGTTGAAAATAAAGTGTGTTAACCTGGTTGAAACTATCATGAAGTCACCATATCAATATATATATATATAGCAAATTTTCTAATATTTATTGTTTATTGTGTCTAAGCACTGAATAATGTTCTATTATTAATGTGGTAACAGAGAAGAGAGACTTGAAGGCATTCTTTCCACAGACGCACTTTAGTTATAGAGCCTAAGGATGGGTACATTTTTTAATTTATCCCTGTCCCGCAACTACCCTGAAATTTACCCCTAAGTTTTCAGAATCTGGCTTATTGTGACAAGACCTTTTCTTTGGCAGTTTACCTGATTTAACATCTCTTTTTAAGCTGTTTTAGTCATTTTTAAATAAACAGCACTGATTTAATTCCTAAACTTTCAAGGCAGGAACCTAAGCAATCAGTAGAAGGATAAGGGAGACTATCAAAACATACAGAAAAAAACTGAAAATTGGGGCTGTTGAATTTCCTGAGTGTCTAATCAAGAGGTATTCACGCAAGAAACGAATCACTTAGTATGGAGTACAGACATGCAAAAGGAAGTCGATAATCAGTGAAAGTGCTGCAGTAAATGTGAGGCACCATTAAAGAGACTGCAGGTGAGATTCTCACTCTTCAGTGGGTTTGTAAAGGAGGAATTCATACGCAAACAAGTCTAAACCCTAAAATCTTGGTAAAATTTTGAGACACACATTTGGAAGCAGAAAAGACCTTTGATTAGAGAAACATGTTTCTCTAGTACAGTGCATAGCACGAATCACAGTAAGCTCTTCTTTTACCACCTATTGGTCCTATTGTTTCTCTGAGCATGGCACTAAGTAGCTAATGTGCTTATTTCTGCTAAAGTAGAGGCTTGAAATACACAGATAGAGACACTTCATGTAGCCAAAGCACACAGATTTGAAGAAAACTCCTTTTTTAACAGGAAGCTGTTCTATAAAAGATGGGTTGACTTAAACAAGAGGTGGAGTAGAAAGGTGAAAATGCACTTTCAGAATATCCTAGATACCATTTTGAACATTGTGTTTAACCTTAATTACTTTCAAGTACTGTGGCCATATTACAGAAACAACTTAAAGCATGGAAGATTGAGTTTCACTCGGGGTTTCAGAGGGTTCTCCTTGATTCTGCATTATTTGGTACCATGTATTGGACAGAACATCATGGTAAGTAAGCATATGGCAGAGAACAACTTGTCAAGCCATAGATGACCAAGAAACAAGAGGTCAACACAGGAGGTGGACAAGACAAACATACCCATGAGGGTCATGCCCAGGAATTGATTCTGGCAATCATATCTCATCTCCTAAAGGTTATGAAGTCTGCCAAAATAATGCCACAAGCTGGGTCACACGCATTCAAACTCAAATCATATGGAAGACATTTGGGATTATATAAGAACACTCTTCAGGGATGTGTTTCTTATCTTTCTTGCCATAGAAAGAGGAAAGATTCTGGAAAATTTCAGTTTAGCACAAGACTGATGAATTATAAATATTACTTTAAGAACTATTTACAAGAAAGCTAGGTTGAGTGGTGAGTGGGGAAAAAAAGGCCAAATAAGAGTAAATAAAAGTGAAGACAGATATATTGGACCTACATTTGTGTTATTTATTTAACATGTAGTTTTTGGAAAAAATAATTACTAACATTGCCAACTTCTAAAATTCTTAGTCTAGAAATACAGAGTCACAATAGAGTGCCTGTATCAATGAATTAACTAACATTTTACAGTGGGCAAATATGTTGCAGAGAAAATGTTAGCAGATAGAAAGGGGTAGAAAGCAAGTCAGACAGGAGTTAGAACAACAGTAGGAGCAGAGGTGGCCCCTTCGGGGACTACCTTGTAGGAAGGATCCATGAGACCACAAAACCAGTACCATCTGGATGCAGACATTGACTCTTATGGACTGGGGCTCACAGTTTTGGCATGGACAACCCTTCCTCCACATATAGCACTAAGATGAGGAGTTGTCTCCCATGAATATGGGAGAGGCAGACAGCACTATAAGCCAAGTCTGCTCTTAGGACCCCTGTTAGCACTTCATACCTTCATGTCTGGAGGTTACAGGCAGCCAGAGAGTCATTTCATTGTTACTTTGGGGCCCTAAAAGAAGACAGAACTTTTCACGTTTCCTTGTTTAATGGAATGTACACCCTTATAAGCTTCAATAATGTTAATTAGAATAAACTATTATACAATCCTTCGCCGGTCTTACAAAACATTGGTGTAAGTTTAAACCTCCAATGTTGTCTTCCTGGATACTTACAGGTTCTCCTATCTTGTAAATCCAATTTCTAGGTGTATTCTAATGCAGGTTTAATAATGTAAGCTGTTATGACTTATCAATTTATGTTTTCTAATATGATAAATAAATTGAAGTTAATTGGCTACAGCTAAGAATTGACTTATTCTATGAGAGAGTCTGTTAGTTTCTAGACACAGTTCCATTATACATCACTGAAACCCGCTATCTGATAAAATATTTTCTATTAAATCTGATAGGTTTAAGTAAAACTACATGATATGCTTCCATGATAGGACATAAGTATCATTCTTCAGAGCAGAATCAGTTTCTTATAGTGACAGATGATGGTTTTCAAATTTAGCTGCACTTCAACAATGATTCTTTGATGTTTGAAATAAGTGACATTCAGAATGAGTCACTATTTAAAGTCCTTTTAGTTGGGCAGTTCTAACACAGAATTGCAGGAGACTCTAGTTTCCTGCAGTTTTTATCTAACAAAGTACTTTGTACTAGAAAGAAAAAATAATTACTTTAAAATATGATTCAATAATGAGGAAGGTTTTCCTTTTGGAGAGTAAATGCCTCTATCTTTTGAGACCAAATTGCATTATAAATTCTATACTATTTATATATTTTAATTGACAAATCCATAAGCTTAGATATATTTCATTTTATTTTAATACTTTTTCAAAAGTTTTGAAAACAAGAATGTCAAACAACACATTTTCCCAAATTTCTGGATAATAACTAAACTGGAGTGAAAATAAACAAAACTGCAAAAATAATGATGTATGTGTACCGTATTAGCCAGGAAAGCTCTGCATTGAGGCCTCGGTACACAAAGCCTACCTAGTGACGCTCAGGGACTCATGAGTCTGTTTGACTTTATCATCTCTCCCATAGCAAAACTACTTGTGGTTTTCAGAAAAGAAAAATAAGGACAGTGGATTAAATTTCTCAAAGAAGTTATCATATTATGTATTCTTAACTTTTATTATGAAAATTGTTCTTTAACAATTTTGTGCCTTCTGATTACTCTCATTCCCCATCCTCTCTTCATTTCCTCCCACTCCCATTAACCTACCTTTGCTTCATCTCTTTCCACATTCATGCTAGTTAGTTTTGTTTAGTAGGCCATTGCACTTAACCAGGCAGGTTTGTGTAACCATAGATTCATTGTGTGAAATTTACAAGTGGGTACAGAACTGACGACAATGTCCACCACTTCTAATAGCCTATAACTCAACAGGCAGGAGTAGGGTCCATCTCAGTCCCTGGCTGATTGTTGACAGGCCCAGGCTCATGTGGGCTCAATGAAGGAAAGCACAGTGTTTGTGAAATCTTGATTGCACATGCTGTGTCATGCCCAGTACATGGCATTTCCTAAACCTTTCCCCTTATAAAAATAATTATTATTTAAGTATGATATTTTCCTTTGGTTAAGCCTCTTAAAAATAAATGGTCAATTTTATTGGCAAGGAGGTAATAAAATATATGTTGTCTTCCACACCTGCTTTTAACTTATTCTTCTCCATTTCTGGGGACCAAATTTGAGGTCATTTGCTTGCTAGGCAAGCACTGCAACACTGAGTTTAATCTCCAACACATATTTGTAGATTGTAGCAACACTACTTAACAAAATGAAAAGTTGTTGTTCATATCAGCCCCCATTTTCTCTTTAGAAACCAGATTGATTATCCAAAAGCTAGAATGGAACATATTGCTATACATATACCAGTGTGGTGATAAATGGTATCTTATGTCTATAATTCGTGCACTCACGAGGCAGGAAGATGGTGAGTTCAAGAGTAGCTTGAGCAACATAGTGATAAGTTATTTCAACACGTAAAAATAAATGAATCATAAATTAAATCAATGTAAAAATAATTGGGAGGACTACCAGTGTGCTTCCTTTCCACCTGCCCCGTGGCGTAAGGATTGCTATGTACACGCTGTCACTTTACTTTTAGGAAGAACTCAGGCAATAGCTTATTCTCTCAAGAACAAATGTTAGATTTTTGTTTACATCAATGCTCAAACAACTGGCTTGAAAATATCACTAATGGCTATCCATGAGTGGTGGGCTGTGCAGGAGCATTTTGTCTATCATGAAAATATCACTAATGGCTATCTATGAGTGGTGGGCTATGCAGGAGCATTTTGTCTATCGTGAACTACTTATTGAAGCCCTGTCTCAAAATCTATATTTATCAACACGGGATTCAAAGTAGTATTAACACAGGTATCACCATTCCTTAAGCCATGTCAGTTTTACATTGAAGGTTTATTCTCTTACTTTCCTGATTTAAAAAAATCAAGACCTGACCTTATTCTTTTGAAAATGTTTTCAGATTCTTTTAATTTTTTATGTGACCTTGAGTTAGAAGATTATCCGATTCTGATGTCAGTAAGTGTCCTCATTTCTAATTAGCAAAAGCTTTCAATATTTCAGGATAACTAGCTGTAACAGGAAACTGATGATTCACTGGGAATCTTATAAGACAGTCTTGAGAAGTACTGCGCCGTAAATTGTGTTCCAAGTGTTCCATTTGATGTCTTGTTTTCTTTCCACTTTTCCTCTTCCAGTGAAATCAGATGAGTTACAGACAATCAAGAAAGAATTAACCCAGATCAAAACTAAAATTGACTCCTTGCTAGGGCGCCTGGAGAAGATTGAGAAGCAGCAGAAAGCAGAGGCAGGTAAGTGGAAATGAATCTATGACCACAAACAGACAGGTTGGAATTAACCCAACACCACCAACTGTAGAAAGCAGGCCAACCACTAAGTAACAAAGCCACAAACAACTCTTTTAAGACAATAACTGCACTGATGGAATGGGGTTTCTTGGGAAAACATGAATAATACTTCTAAGATTAAGGTTTTAAAAGGATAGTATTTTGATTGAACAATCAATAGTAGTTGAATCACAATTGAAACTTTCTTTCTCAGTATTAATTGTAAGAAAATAAAGGCAAGTAATGGATAGTGTTATCAAGATAACACCATATTCACATTTCATTAAATTAACCACGGTATAATACATAAAAATATATAGACTATTATTGCAGAGATCAAACTCTGTCTTACTTTTCACCTTGTGGAATGTCTTACTCAAATTCAGAAACCCAGAAGCATGCAGCAAGTCTATCTCTCAGTGGGCTCTTTCTGGATTATAGATGATTCTCAACCACAGTCTTTACAGTTATTATACTTTTTCTTGTTTAATGTTCCAAGACCACATAAAATGAGATTAGGGATGAATTCACAGCAGGACTACATTTTGAGACTTGCATTTTTCAAGGTCACTATGCTTGAGGTAACTCACAGGCTTCTACTATAGAGCTGGCATGGGGATTAGACAGAGACCCATTATGTATATATGATGTGTGTCTCTTCTAAACCTAGTCCTTGCTCAAAGGTTTGTGTTAATAACCCTACTTGTATGCATGTGGTACTGAGATTCAAACAGAACTTAACTTACTAGGAATTTCACCTATTTAAAATAAAATAAATGAACAATATAGTTTTATAAAATTATTGTTAAGTCCAAACTTCTTTCAATGCAAGCAAAGGTTCAGAAGCTTAAATTTATTTCTGTAGCCAAAACAGTGGTTTGTGAACTACCTTGGTCTTAAGATCATGACTTAGCTTTCCTTCACAGCTTCATTTCTGTCTTTTCTGGAGTGACGTTGCTACGTTACTATTGAGTATTGTTGGTAGCTAGAGCTGTGGCTGAGGCTCCTGCTTGCAACATAGGACTCCTCTCTGGAACCCATTCATGGCTCTTAAACTGAAGCAAGCAAGCGCCTGCCTTCCTGTTGCCCCCGACCAGAACTGGGGCCCATCTTCTGGTGGAGCTATGGAACATTTCTAATCTTAAACACTTCAAAATAAAGTTATTCAACCTATATTTTAAAACATCTCATTAAAAAAGAGTCAGTAAATCTCCCCCGCATGTTAATATGAACAAGACATGATAGATTTAAATGGAACCACTTTTCCTTAAATTTTAAATAGCATACATTTTATACTGAGAAACACTACATGGCCTACACTTTTCAGTAAAGAAATTTAGAGTTTTAGAAAGTTTTGATGCAGTGTCTATGACCACAATCTTAAACGTTGCTGTAACTGAAAAATCCTGTGATGTTGCCTAAGTCAATATTTTCCTTTGAGCAACTTCTGTAGAATTCATTATTATGTAAAACAACCCTTACAGCTAAAGACTTTGATAACCAATTTGCACTTCAGTTTAAAGGATTATAGAGAACTCATTTAAATATAAATCACCTCAAAGAGAAAAAAGTGATCCTTATTCCAGCATATTATACCTTCTGGTTTCCTGCAATGAATAATACCTGCCACAGATCTTGCTGGAAGATCATTTATAAACGTAACACTCTAATTCAAGCTCTGATTTTCCTTTTATAAAAGCTGTCATCTTGCCTTTGCTAATCTTTAAACTTTTTCCAGTCATAAGACCATTACTTCGAAAATGACAAGTCTTGTCCTTGTTGTTGGCATCTCTCTTCCTTTTATATGCTATGAGAAAAATGAAGGTATTTAATTTGCAACTTCAGTCTCCTTGTAATTGTCTTCTGAATAGCATCTATATTTATGGAGAGTCTTCATTTCCTGTATTTTCTCTGTGGAAAGAAGTCAGAGTTACATGGAAAAAGTTTTTAAGAGTAAACACTGTGTTATGGAGAAAGGAGTTAAATGCATTAAAATTCATTAAAAAGCACTCAAAGCCTCCTTATTAAATCCAGGGACAGTCACTTTAATGCTTAATTAGTTGAAAGCTAATTATTTGCTAGCAACCTCTTATTCTTCATTATTGCTCTTTCTATATCACATTCCTTACATGGTATTAGCCATTTAATAAGGTCTGTTTTCAGTGTAAATGTGGTGGGGAAAAGCAGATGACTGGGAGGAAAATGCAGTAGAATGCAGAGCGTGCTCTGCGCAAGACTTGTGGTAGGTTCTAACTGAGCTTCACAGGAAGTGCTTCCCCGCTGACTTCAAAGGAGTTCTAAAGCTATCAGACAAAGTCACTACAAAACACAATCATATTATTATTAACTGTATACACCATAAAATGTTTTAAATAGGTCTCCATGTGCCTCTTCATCTACATTGTAGTCTTTCTAAGTAAAGGTCATATTTTTCTTTTTTCTTACTTTCCACAGTATAGTATCATTAACCATTACCAGGTATGTAGCAAGACTTAAGACCTTTTAAACTGTAGAAATGAGAAATGCCCTCCAGTGCATACCCAAATACTTAAACTATAGTTACCATGATTCTACCATGCATATATTGTTTTTCCACTGAATAAAACAACTTTTAAGGATGCAGTGAACATACAAATTAAAAAAAACATAATTATATCAGTTTAAATTATAACTGGATCTCATTCCTAAATGATTGTTTAGAAGGAGCCAAATGTAAATTATCTTAACACACACACACACACACACACACACACAATTTTTATGGCTGGCTTACCTGTGATATTATATAACCAGTAAGGGTAATCCACAAAAAGGAAAGGTGCATGGTTCATCACACAATGGGGAAAATTAATCCACAGGAAACTACATCGAAAAGCAAAATTCCATCACAGACCACTGCACAAAGCTGTGGGTATTGTTTTTAGATTTATTCTCAAAATAATACCTTGTACATAAGCAGCAGCCTAGTTTTGGTGATTACAATGTTAAACTGAGAATTAAACAGAAATATCAGGAAGGTCACAAACTGAAGTCACAGTAGATGAATGTATTCTGTCCACATATTTTCAAACAGCATGTAACTGTAAAAAGTTAATACCTAATAGTGATTATATTATAAATTAATATCAAATTATAGGTCTTCTAAGGAAAAATGGAATTTTTCAAACCTGATATCCACTCTACACCTGGAAAAAAATTTTAAGTTAATACTGTTCACACATCTCATGCATTTATTTTATCTGCATTTTTCTCCATTAACCATTTAGTAGGCTCTTGTTACAGGAATTAAGATGCATTTGGCCCTCATCCGATTTTACCATTCTCCTTCTGACATCTATAACTATGTGCACATAACAGTCTATTTAATACTTAGGATTTCTAATATCTCTGCTTTTCCAAAGCATTTAAACATGGACTTAACAACTTAAATCTATGAATTCATGTAAATTGAATTCAAATTTCAGTTGAATCATCAGAGAAGTCTCTACCTAAAGTAATAGAAACAAGTCATGGAGCTGCTTATCTTTTCCATTTATTTTGTACCTCAGCCAATATATCTCTCTTCTCTGATCATCTATAGTTTGTCAAACTCAGACTGTAGAACTCAAAGGAAAGACTATTATAGGTAAGTCTTTCTCCAGCCTCAATTGTGACCAATGATCCAATTCTGAACACTTCTGCTGTCATTGGCCCTTTTAATGTAGTTGATGATGCCTCCAATTAAACACTGGTTTTAACTAGGCATCCTCTGTACACTGTTTGACGGTAATGATAAGGCTTTGAAATGAAGTTCCATTGAGATAATGAACATAGAATAAAGATTCACAAGTCAGATTGCAAATCAGAAGACATTTATTTTTCTAACTCAATATCTCCTAAAACCCAAGTCAAATTTTAAAATCAAAATTCCTACATGACCCTAAGTTAAATGTACTAAATGAGTGACAATCTATGAAAGGAAAAATCAATCATCAATGTTTGTGTCATAATTTGATAGAGGACTGAAGATTTCTATAGGAAAGCTAAAACAGTATGCATGAGGATGGACAGACAATGAGAAAGCCTGACCAAGAAAAAAAAATTTACACATTTGTTCTAAAGTTTCAAGGTTCTTTCCCCTCATCATGGGATACTAGGCAAATCATCATTTGAGAACCAGAGCAACCCAAGAAGAAACACTCCAAATGGTGACATGGCATCCCCAAGGAAGTGGTCAAGCAGACCATCCTACAGAAAAAAAAAAAAAAGAAAGAAAGAAGTAAGGAAAGAAAGAAAGTAGGAAGAAAGGGAGGAAGGAAGGAAGGAATGAAGGAAGGAAGGAAGGATGAAAGGAAGAAAGGAAGGAAGGAAGAAAGGAAGGAAGGAAGGCAGTGGTGTGTACCTAAATCCTTCTTTTTTTTTTAAATTTATTTATTTATTAAGGATTTCTGCCTCGTCCCCACAACCGCTTCCCATTTCCCTCCCCTTCCCCCGATCAAGTCCCCCCCCCCCCCCCCCCCCGCCCTCATCTGCTCGAAGAGCAATCAGGGTTCCCTGACCTGTGGGAAGCCCAAGGACTGCCCACCTCTATCCAGGTCTCCTAAGGTGAGCATTCAAACTGCCTAGGCTCCCACAAAGCCAGTACGTGCAGTAGGATCAAAAACCCACTGCAATTGTTCTTGAATTCTCAGTATTCCTCATTGTCCGCTATGTTCAGCTAGTCCGGATTTATCCCATGCTTTTTCAGACCTAGGCCAGCTGGCCTTGGTGAGATCCCAATAGAACATCCCCATTGTCTTAGTGTGTGGGTGCACCCCTCGTGGTCCTGAGTTCCTTGCTCGTGCTCCTTCTCCTTCTGCTCCTGATTTGGACCTTGAGATTTCTGTCCGGTGCTCCCGTGTGGGTCTCTGTCTCTGTCTCCTTTCATCGCCTGATGAAGGTTAATATTCCTGAGGATGCCTATGTGTTTGTCTTTGGATTCACCT